CCCCCCCCCCCCCCCCTTAGTTACAGTAATAGATACTTGTAATCCCGCCCCCTAGTTACAGATAATTGTAATCCGCCCAATAGTTACATATAATTGTAATTCCACCCCCTAGTTACGCATAATTGTAATCGCACCCCCTCCCCCAGTTACAGTAATACAGATAATTGTAATCCGCCCCTAGTTACAGATACTTGTAATCCCGCCCCCTAGTTACAGATACTCGTAATCTGCCCCATAGTTACAGATAATTGTAATTCCACCCCCTAGTTACAAATAACTGTTCTATATAGCTACATGTACATCTGATGCATTAACAAATAGCAATAGGTTTAATGATTTTGATCATGCACATATGAATTTGGAGAATAAAAAATCAAATTATCTCCCCTTTTTATACAACTTCCCCATTTCATTCTTCAGCAAACTCAGTCCTCCTCCTGACAGGATCTCAAAAATTTCAATAATGGCCAACTTCAAGGCTTACTGAGCAAAAAATTAAACACAGCCAAAACATGAGTGATTTCCAATTCGCCCCTCTCAAAACCTGCCCTATTTTCGCATGGTATAAAAGGGCCCTACCTTTGCGTTCATTCGCCAACTTAGCCCCCGAGGCCGAATCTGGGATGTGCTGGGTACTAGCAACTGGACTGTACATAAGTTCAGTGTGACCGGTCAACTCTGAAAAAATTGTGGTCAGTTTCTACAATGTCCCTAGATATTGTCGGGTTACAGCAGAATATAGGATGAAATTGTCACGAGGCAGAAAGAAGGGATGAAGAAATAATATAAAATGTCCTTTAAGTTTGCAGCCCATGGAAACTTCACATCAACACAAAATTAAATTCATGCTCCCTGAAATATAACAATATATATATATATGGCAACATCTGGTGGTTTTTTCTGGGAGTTTTTTTCAGGGAAACAGAATATTTGACTAATAATTGCATCCTATATGTACATTAATTAATAAAACAACATTAACAGGATTATCAGCTTGGGGCACTTTTACATTCCTAGACAGATCCTGGCAATACATATATATACATGGGTACATACAAATGTTAACTCAGGTTATGATTATAATAAAAAGAAAACAAGTTACAACAAACAAGGATACAGAATTACAACAGATATACATTTATGTATCAATATCTAGTACAAATCTATATACATGCACAGTGAAACACATTAACAGACTCTTTGAACAACAGTGCCTGTCAAATAAACCATGAGCAATGCCCTTTAAATGCAGGGTTACCCTATAGCTACAGTCGCCAACCCATTTTGTAACAAAATAAAATGCAGAGGGTTACAAGTTGAGAATTGGGAATTGGGAAGGTAAAGGGCCTTTTTGGATGAATTTTTCACTCATATTATAAACATTAATTATTTAACGACAATTATGNGGGGGGGGGGGGGGGGGGGGGGGGGGGGGGGGGGGGGGGGGGTGTCTTAATGTGGCAGGAAACTGGATACCCGGAGAAAAACCCATGTGTGATCATTTTCTGAAAGTATCTCAATATTTTTTAAATGATTGAAATTGCTTATAACTACCTTTTTAACGCTTCAAAAGCTGTCAACAATAAAAATTCAATTTTCAATAAGGAAAATTGATCCATTTCATCATAAAACCTTTACTAAATCTTCTTGAATAAAACCTGATAATCATGCAATTCTAGAAAAATAATCTGGCTACATGAGTGAAGGTAGCAAGCCCTACATGGAATACTTTTTTGGGCCCCGAAGGGTACTCAAAATGTCATGCCTATTTTATGCAATCAAGTGCACTGGAGTAAGGATGTGTGCTCTAGTGTAGATCCCAACAATGCCAATCTACCTTAGCTTAAGTTAGATACCCCTTTTTTCAGGATATAACGAGAAACAGCGAACATTTTGTTCCACCTAAGCTACATACCTGTCTATATGTATGGGATTCCTGGAAACTAATATAACACGCTTAACACCTAAACCCATGTCTAAACAATGGAACGTGCAAGATGAGACAAACAAATTTATTTGGTTTCTATAATGGTATGTTGTTTTATATATATATATATAATTTGGTAGGTTGGCAAGAAAACATTTTATTTATTATGTTCTTATTTCTTTATTTATACATCTAAATCATACAGAATTGAGTTCCCAGCTTTAGAAGTGCTGGTTGATTTTGCCTGTTAATTTGTATGGAAGATACTGAAATCTTGGGTAGGTGTAGTCGGCTATACATGTGGTCACAGGAAGCATGGGACTTGGGTATTTTTCTTTTATACCCTATTTTAACTCATTCACCCCTGAAGACGCAATTTAACTCTTCCCAATTCAAATGTTGGAATAGTTCATTACTAAATAGACCAAACAAAATTATTTGGTTTCTATAATGGTAGGGTATATTGTTTTATATACAGTCGAACCTCTTTATCTCGAAGTCGACAGGGTCGCGGGAAAACTTCGAGTTATCCGAGTATTCGAGTTATGCGGGTTCATAGATTTGGTATGAAATTTGCTGTTGGGACATAGCACTAGCAGTTGTTGGTTTTATTAATAGTTAATGCTTTTAATCAATCGATAAATGATATACGTTATCAATATAACAAATACAGCTATGTAATTTTACAATAAACACGCTTACAAAAATAGAGTAAGTTGTTTCAGAAAAACGTACTTTCGTTTTTAAACGCGATCAAAATGGTTGGACCATTTTGTGAATTCGTTATTAAATATGGACGGGCCTAGTGATTAAATGTTGTTTTTGGCTAGTATAGATCTTGGCAAATCTTTCCAGGTCTGCATTTGCATTTGTAAGTCCGTCAAGTTTTACTTCTGAAGTGTTACATTTCAAACCGAACTATCCCGCTGTCTCTGATCTCGTAGTTTACAATGCGGAAATGAAAGTGCCCAAGTCTAAAACAAATCACTGTAATGGAGCGTACGCATAGTTGATTCTGTAACTGAAAACACACACAAACAAATTATATCGTACATGTTACACATTGATTCATTAAAGCCAAATATGACACCTGACACCTCCTCAACTCGATGTAATCAACAGCAATTATCGTTTTGTTCTTAAATCTCTCGATCGACTTTCAAAGCCATACTGGCTCCTGTAAAAACATGAACCCGTAAAGCTGTCCTAGGTTGTGATTTTAACTGTGGAACTCTTTTATGCATGACCACGCTTTGTGACCAATTTTCCGGTTTGCACTGTCGTCTGTTTAGGTGTACAAATCATTAAACGGACTCGCAGTAAGTACAGATTACTGTTGATCAACATTGATGCAGTTTGTTTTTTATTATGAATAACATGGTTTTGACAGTCCGTAAACTTTACAGTCCTAAGCTTTATCGTAAATTCTTTTTTACTGATTTCATGCTAGTCTACTTACGAAAGATGTTCATAAACACGGAATGGCGAAATGTCGTACTTTTGCGTTTTATTTGTATCAAAGAATTAACAAGTGACAAAATGAAATTTGGATACTACGTTGGATTAACGCTATTGAAACCAATATTTTACTTCGAGGTATCCGAGTTTTTCGACTTTTCAGGGTTCGAATTATCAGAGTTTTATTTACTAAGATAAAGAACAGATTTGGCCGGGACCGGAGAAATACTTCGAGATAAACGGGGTCTTCGAGTTAAAAGAGTTCGAGATAACGAGGTTCGACTGTATATATATATATAATTTGGTAGGTGGCAGTGTTCCCCGTCACTTTGTAATTGGGGGTTTTTGTACCCCCATACAAATGTACCTCTCAAAATGGGGGTATGGCTGCATATATTAGGGGTACACCTTATCTAAATCCCCATGGGTATGTAATATCATCACAAAGTTGTTAACTTATCGTAGCTGTGTCATTTATATAGGTTTTTTATTTATTTCATAATATTTTCAGTTTGTCATAGAATAAAAACACCAAGAATTAGCCAGTAACAGAATGAAAATTGTGTAAGGAGGCAGTACCCAAATAGGATCACTTTTGGCAAAAATACTTATACTTCAATAAATGTGCCAAAAAATCAGTTATAACAATGATGTATTCTTAGCCATGCACCAGTTTATTTCTACAGATGATTCGTTTTTAAGTTCAAATTGCAGAAGAAAATGTAATTCAAACTCAAATGTCAGTGTTTTGATTACATTTTTAAAAAATGGCGCGTATTATTGAAAGAGAGATCATGTAACTAACCCGAACTGGGCACAGACAGTCATTATGTAAGAATATGAACTGAAAGTTGTCGTCTTTAGCTGACGACAGAAATCCAAATAGCATCTGCTGGTTTTTTCCGTCATTCATGATCAATTACGCAGTATACTATAGTGATAATCAGCTCGAGGATACCGATAGTCTGGCTACGCACTCGGGTATTATCGTAGGACAGTGCAGACTCATTACCTCCCGTAGTTATTATATTCGCCGCTTGGTGCTACTACCGGACTTACGTCATTCGCAGGAAATTCTGACAGTCGCTTTCAATTTTCTGAATATCATCATTTAAAATACAAACATGCTACAAAAATGACTTAAGATTGTACAAAATTATTGTGCATACACTCACGCTGAGTATGATGAATTTCGCGTGCAAAGTTGTTTACTACGCGTGAAACAGGCAGGATTCTGCGTGATCGGGAACACTGAGGTGGGTTAGAAAACATTTTATTTATTGTTTTCTTATTTCTTTATTTATACATCTTAATCATACAGAATTGAGTTCCCAGCTTTAGAAGTGCTGGTTGATTTTGCCTGTTAATTTGTATGGAAGATACTGAAATCTTGGGTAGGTGTAGTCGGCTATTCATGTGGTCACAGGGAGCATGGGTATTTTTCTTTTATACCCTATTTTAACTCATTCACCCCTGAAGACGCATTTTAACTCTTCCCAATTCAAATGTTGGAATAGTGCATTACGAAATTTCAGGGGTGAATGAGTTAGAGCCAAAATATTCCTGTTGTCTGTGAAAAATATGTGCTTATTCAATCTTTATTTTTCTTGGACAGTGTCCAGAAAGGCAGGATACATTACATGTACACTGTTTATTACCTATCATGCATACAGAATATTTGAACAGATTAGACAGCAATGCATAATATACAAATGAAAAGATAATCACAAATTGGCCAATTGTTTTTTTCTGATACAGGATTTATATGATCCTCTCCACCGCACTCAAATGGTATACCTATGTTACTCGGTTAGTGACAGCTGGTTATTCAGAAAAAAACAGGACAAACACTTTCACTTTAGCATTAAATATATAGCCACTTTTCTCATAATAGTTAAACAACCAGGTAACAAACAAAACATGGATAACGTTGCTGTACGGGGGGGGGTTGCGGGGGAGGGGCTCTGCTGTAGAATTGTGCCGGCAAGCTCACTGTAGGTAGATTAATTACTAGTTTACTGGCCTATACATGTACACGCTGTAGCTGTCATATTGGGTCAGTGACTAAATACTCATGACCTACATTTTGATTGGTTACTGGGTCAGGCTTAGTAAGTGCAAGTGAACCTAGATCTACTGACATAGATTCCTATTTGGGACACGGACTATGTTTACTGACCTAGATTTAGTGATTACTGGCGTCATTAGGCTAAATTACTGACCTAGATCCCTATTGGATCTGAGTGACTAATAACAAGGTTTACTCATGTCCAAGATTTTGATTGGTTAGGCTAAATAAGTGCAAGTGAACCTAGATCTACTGACATAGATTCCTATTTGGGACACGGACTATGTTTACTTACCTATATTTTGATTGGTTACTGGGTCAGGCTTAGTAAGTGCAAGTGAACCCTAGATCTACTGACATAGATCCCTCATTGGGTCAGAGTTAACGAGTTTACTGACCTAGATTTAGTGATTAATGGGTCATTAGGCTAAATTACTGACCTAGATCCCTATTGGATCTGAGTGACTAATACCAAGGTTTACTCATGTCCAATATTTTGATTGGTTACTGGGTCAGGCTAAATAAGTGCAAGCTAAGTGAACCATAGATCTACTGACATATGTTTTTGAGTTAACAAGTTTACAGATCATGACCTAGATTTATATTGGTTATTTACTTGGTTAAATATTACAAGTGATCATGAGCTATATAGAGATATACTGAACAAGATCCCTCACTGCATCAGAGACAGTCAGAGTGGTTAAGCTTACTGGGTTGGGCTGAATCGTTATTATAATTATCAATATTCTTCTTTCTGTAAGAGACAAATCTCCAAGGATGGAACTGACCTAGATATATAGGTCATTCCTCATTTTGTCAGGGGGACTACAAATGTATCTGCTGACCCTGATCTGTTAATTTAGGGCACTGGGGCAGGTGACTACTAATTTATCTGCTGACCTAGCCTTGATATGTCAATTTAGGGCACTGTGTCAGGTGATTACTAATCACGAGTTCAGCAAACTAGATTTTGATTTGCTGACTATTTATGTACAAGTTTGTTGACCTTGATCCCTAACTGGGTCAGGTGATTAATTGTATGTTTACCGACAACCTAAAATAGATTCTTCATTAGGGCAGAGTGACTACTTATAACTTCTCTGACCAAGCTAGCTATAAGTCCCTCATTGGGTCAGACTGACCAAAGTTTACTGACCTATATTTCTTACTGGGTCAGGACGTGATATTTTCATTGACCTAGATCTGTCACAGTGTCAGGGTGATATATTGTTTAGTGTTAGTTATGTTTACTGACCTATATTTACATTTGTTAGTGGGTCAGTCTGGCTATAAGTTGACTGGCTAACACGTAGGCCTTGACCCCTGTTTGGTCAAGTTGTATATACAATAGTTAACCTATGTGCACTAAAATCACTCCATTACATTTCATGCAAAAATTGTGAATCAATAAAATTAAACTAACTGTTCCGTGATGTAACAGTAAAGTTAATAATTTGAACCTGATTAATTTTTTTTTTTAAATGGAGAGAGTGACTGGTAATAAATATGTATTAATGTCTTTTGACTTTGTTTTACTGATGTATAGGGTAATTTCATTTCTGGTGGTAGTTCACATTGCAATACTTTCTACAAATATTTAATTTCAGAAACCTGTTGTTTAATGAAATTGTTCGTGGGGAAAAGTTAACCACTACAAATGGTATCGAATTCAACATGTATACTTAATCCACATACATGTTAAACAGTATTTACACATTTCTGATGATGTATCGGATCTACCAGAACGTACAGACAAATACATCATAGGGGAAATGGGTCCCCATAAATTTATAAGGTCAAACAAAAAATATATGGTATTTCTGGTAACCCTACCTACCCTTTTTTTGTGCCTACCTTAAATTTTTTAAGGCAAACTTTCAAAGAAGCACTGTTAAAGTCAAGATCACTCTACTATATAAAAGTATTTGTTCAAATAGAATGTGTTACCCTAAATTTGTCCAATGTGTTACAGGAAACATATATTTTTTTGTCTGGCCTATTATCCCAGTGTTGTAAGGAACATTTAGGAGTAAGAGCAGTGGGATTGGGTAGAAAAGTAGTACGATGAAATTTATGGGGGAGACATTCCAAGACCTCCCAGATTATATATATCGCTGATGACAGAGACCAGCCAGTCACCACAGTGCTGACTGCCGAGGGACAAATCACAGTGTTTATGTTTTTTTGACAACATGGATAACCTGGATTTTTTCATGCACATACAAAATAAAAGTCTGTTGAGGCAGATCCACAGGTCAGAAACATGAATAATTTGTTGGGGGGGGGGGGGGGGG